GCAATGCTTCAAATGAACTATCAGCAAAGCATTTCTACCATGGTCAAAGGACGAGATCCGGTCCGAATTCAAATTGACGGTTCTTTCGACTGTGAATCTGACCATGTACCACTTGGGCAAACCGAAATTGCGTGAATTTATGTATCGAGAATGTCCATAAATTTCATCATTAGGAAACTAGCAATTAGACGTAATACGAGTAAGCGGAACACTTCAAAAGTTTAACTGTCAGTATCCAGCTTATGGTATATTTCCGTACATTAGTTCATGCAGGGTAGCTCAGTTCGTGGAAAGGCATACCAGAAGTCGAAGGCTCACTGCCTGTAATACTAACGGAATCACTCGCTTTTGCATACGTGGAAAGGACGGATGTACCCGTGTTTTTGTAAAAGACCAAAGGCGTATCTAAAGAATCGCGTGTCAGATCGCAGCATGGTGAAATTTATTTTTCCTCACCACTATGACAGTTGTAAACGCCTGTCACAAACCGCGAATACGTCACAAATATGAACTTAATGATCAATTCTTATCCATCTGTCTGGCAGAAGCATAGTCTGACTAAAGATCCGAATGAAAAGACTGGGGAACACTATCAGCGCTCATTTCTAAGAGCATCATAACAAGGCATGACGACGATTAATTTCTAGGAGGATGATAGACAGCTTCTACTACCATAAATAATGTACATTTATGTCTTTTTTTAGATATTCAACAAGGTCTTACCTAGTTTTAAGCGTGAAGACCAAGCACGACATGAACACCATCAACATGTGCAATGTCAGCGTGACTAGAAAAATGAAAAAATAACGGTAATTTCGTCTTCCTATGCAGTTATTAACCCATGGACAATGGTGATCGAAATTCTAAAATAAGCAACATACGTTCGTAGGTGGCTAACAACCCGATGATGTACGTGTAAACCTACCTCTATACAGTGGTTACAAACGGAACAGTGTGAGCAACGAGGAGGTCGATAGAAATGGCAAGTGACGCACCACTTCATACGTACTGATATGCCGTTGATTTCCACGTTTTTATACAGTGGAGACCGAAAGTCGTCCTGGTCATCAGGTTCGGTTGCTGAAAACAATTCTTAATTTATAAAACAATTCAATTCAAACAACTGAACTGTCTGAACACAAAATTTACCCTGAACTCATGATGGTCTAGTTCAGCAACATGTTCGATGTAAAGTAGTCACTGAAGCCAAGCTAAAACTCACCTTTATGAATTATTCCTGGGTCCATAACGGTTGCCATAAAGAAGTTTGAAATCACTATCATAGAAAGCAAAACTTCGAGAACAATAATGATGACCCCGATGAAGCCAAACTGCACGATTAAAGCGCGAGATCTAAAAATGAATATAGTTAACTAAACATGATGTTGTTCAAAGTTGATTTTATAATAATCAATACACACAACCTTTCCCAGTCGGTCAACAATGGACTATTGAATTTCACACGAGAACTCGCCGACTTTACTAAAGGGTTTCCTCTCAATCAATTTGCCTAACAAGAACGATTCATGACCGGTAAAAAATAATCAGTCTTGCTAATTAACTTATAATATAGGTTAACACTTTCGTACGCATTAAAATGTCATTGTTGGTTAGTTACATCAACGGTATAAACACCGCAAAGCAAAAGAGACATGATGAGCAAGGTATAGGGAGATTTCTGTTGAAAGTGGTACTCATTTCTTAACTTAAATATCGGAAAAGTTATTAAAAGAACTGCCAGAGAAGACCGTCCTCGTATTTAACTCTTGTTGGTTAGTGAAGTCACTGGAGCGATGGAACCGAGATATATAATCTGATCAACCTCCACTTTCATTTTACATCCTAGAACCAGTTGTAGACCTTTCGTGTTAGACAGATTACTCATAATTTATGATTTCTTTGCACGATGGAAGAGGCAGATTTTAGCAGTGTCATGGATACGGAAACCGTCAACTGACTGCTTAAGGAAACGCGAACTTAAAATCAGAAGAATATCTGCCGATTATCTTGAATTGCGTGTCCTTTCTACAACAATACGCTCATTTTTGCCAAGGGTCAGCACTGTTTCAGGAGTAAAGTTGAGAAGAGCAAAGGTGAAAGTATATCTCCTTGGAGAACTCAGCAGTCAATCAGGAGAGATTCAGATAGCCTTTAATCCATCTCAACATGGTTTTGGCATACATCTCTTCCAAAATGCAAACGATGGACTCCAGTATAACATAATGTTTAAGATTTAACACATCTCTCAGGGCAACTGGAATCGTCAGACTGGAAATTCTACGAAGTGAATTCCAACAACTACAACAAATGCTAACTTCAGTTAAGATGTATGACGATATGAATGCAACATAACGCCCTTCTAACCAACGTTGATATGCTAAATTTTCAAAGTTTCGCAGCAGAAACAGCGTTATTCGATATATAAACTTTATTGTGCCCTCGTTTGGCACTAATAAGAATGCTGGCTGCCAATCCTTCCGCCTGGGTCTACGGTAAGAGTGTCTCTGCCAGTGCTCCAATACATAAATGCTTTAAATAGCAAGGGTTCCGTCAGAACTAGCTACTAGAATAAATTAATCTGCCAGGTGAAAGTCCAACAGTGATGTTTAGGTCTGAATTTCAAGTAGCTCCCTTCTACGAGGTAAAACGGGTGACAGTCTTAGGTTGTTATTGAGGCCTGTAGCAGTTGATTCATTCTGGGCCGACAGGCGAGCATTCGGTCCATGCTGAGGAACATACAATTTGCCATTGTAATCAAGTGCGATAAATTCGGCAGTGTTCATGTAGACAAAACGCAGGCCGGTACATTACCAACTCAGGCCCAATCGATCTCAATATAATCAGATTTATAAAAGTTTTAAAAATCAATCTTACTTTTCCAAGATCCTTCAAAATTATCATTACGCTTTTTGTCAAAAAAATAAACATCTGGCAAGGCAAAATAAACTTTATCTGCCAGGTCGGTTCTCAAAAAGCTTTCTTTGTTGGCATCATTTTGAGTTGTGTGTATAAGCAGAACGTTAGTGTGGCTTGCCATGTCAGTTATAGCTGTAGCTTTTAAACTCTTTTGCTATAAGACACTGGTTAATGCATCGCAGAAGGAAATGCTCAGTTCCAAAAGCACCTCTGCCTCTATGTTATTCTTCCATGTTGCTCGCTGGCCACTTGGTCGACGTCTGCCGTGTTTAAACACCCACACGGTAAGCTCAGGGCTCGTGCAACTGGAGCATGCTAAACCCGTTTATCTATTAATCCTTCCGTGGTCCTGCCATTATGCGTCGAAAGACTCGAGGCTAAGCTTAACTCCGGTTGAACAGTGAAATCGCTGGAGAAGATAGAGGTAAAACACTCAATCAGGTCAACCTCCGTTTCACCTCCCTGTTCCACTTGGAGATCAGCTGTGCTAAATGGTTCCCTCATATCCTTTAAATTATGGGCCTGAAACAAGTTGGTCTTTAACAAGTGCGTTTCATACGAAAGCCGTCAGGTGTCAGAGTAAGCTTTCCGTAATACTCAAAAATAAAATATCATCTGCGTACTCCAGGACAGCAAGATATCTATCCGGATGAACAGATATGTAGCCGGAGTGCCTTTTATCGAGAATGAGACTTTCGTCTTTGCCAATGTCAGCACCGTTTCAGAGAAGAAAACTGAGAATAACGTTGAATAGCAAAAAACGCACATCTCCCTGTGGCGAATTTCACAGCTGATAGAGAACCATTCAGATAGATTTTCTTCAATTTTGACAG